TATCACATAACCCACTATTCCACTAAAATTGTGTTAGTGCAGATATTGGACATATACAGAGTTGCACACCTTTGATATCATACCTTTCTCCAGTACAACTGCACAATTTTTTCATGTTGTGGTCTCACAATCATATTTCTCCACACTTTCATAAAATAAAAGACAGATTAGGAATAATAAAGTGCAAGGGTAGAGGAGGAGAATCCCACCCACTGACATCACATTATTGCCAGCATGTCCCATCACAGAAGTGGAATGGACCTACTGCACTAAGGTAGGTGATACAAATGTAGTGGGATTGGAAGCTACTGATGAGATTTACCCATTGATAGCTAGGGATTGTAGAACAGTGTCATGTGATAGGAACTGTCACCAAATGCTGGTTTCCCTGCTTCATGTGATAAAGTCCTAGAATCAGTGTTAATATGAATGTGTCTTTTCATAAAGACACCTTCTCCTTCTTTTATTTAGAAATTTAATCAGGTTTTCTCTCTTCAGTGGAACCTAGTGCAAAAAAGGAAGTCACCAGTGTGAGAGAACTACATGATGACTTCTGTTAAATAACAATAGACAGAATAATAGGGTAAGTTTAGAGTTTCAGTTTGGTCCTTCAAAAATTACTGATCAAATGTGAAAATCTTGCTGACTATAGCATGCATTCCCTCTGGGTTACACATAGGGAAAAGATATAACTGGATGTATTCAAAGATAAATTAAGGAGATAGGTTTGCCTCTTGAGCATTATACTGTATTTAATGGGCAATCCTTTTACATATTTTTTTAACGGTACTCTGGGATTTGGCTAGTAATTTATCAATTGCTTACTGACCACTGAATTTACCAGGTATCTTCAGATATAGAGAGCCTGCTGTGCTGGGAATGCTTAAGCTACATCTGAACCTCCTATTTGTTCTAATGGAATGTTAATGGGAAACAGCCACTTGAACTGATCAGTGCAAAAGATTTTCTTAACAGCCCGTAGTCCCGTCTTTTTTGATCTGCATTAATAGGAGGGAAGACAATACGAACAATGAACAGATTTGATGCCTAACAAAAATAACTACTGCAGGGGGAAACGATAATGTCACCTATGCCATCAAGATGATATTTGAAAGGAATTAAACACCAAAAAATAAAACTTTTATGAATTGAAAAAGATTACACTGCAGCTACATGGAATAGCTTCACTAAACATTGCTATTAAATGTAGAAAATAAATTGGATTGAGACCCTTAATTCCTTCTATTATTTTTAGGAGATGAAATGTTTTATTACAATTAAACTCATCTGAAACTTATTATACTTTCAGCATGCTAATTAATAGAGTAAAAGCATGGATTTCTTAATTAAAATACGGTACCTCGGGGAAACTGAAATTAATTTTGATGTCCTAATAGAGCAACCATTATGTCATTAAATCTTCCTTAATACTTTATCTATTTTGTTCTTTTAAAAAAGGGAGAGAGTAAATGTTTTTATGTATTTTGTGTTTGTAATGGAATTGTAGGATGGACAATTTGGATGTGTGCAAATGTGATGACTCAGTAGAAGTTTAGTGGAGATGCGGTCAGAGTAGAATTCTAGATAATGTAGGAGACAAGTCACAATCCACTGTTAATTGATTCCTGAATGCCATTTCTTGTCTTCCTTGACAAATATGCTGTTAAGTGTAAAAATAAAATGGATTCTTTAGTGCACCCGTTGCCCTCTGCCTAAGGTTGGAAGGGCAATTCATGATGAGGGAGCAGTTTACTCTATCACAGTACATAGTCCATGTTTGAATTATGTTGATAAGACTTTATGGCAGTTTGGGGAGGGGGTAAAACTCATTTTTAGTAACTGGCTTCTGCAACTTTGCGGGTTTTGTGTTAAAAGCAGAGCTTGGGAAGTTACTTTCTAAAACTATACTACTATGGCCCTTCAAAAATAAGATACTGATATAGCAAGAATTGTTTAAAAATAGTAACTAATCATTGATTTTTTTGTCTATTAACTGACTAAAGTTGTTGCTTTTAGCTAAACAAAAAAAACAAAACAAAAAAAAGTCTGCATATTTCAAGCTTTGGGTGCAAAACTCTCCTCCCATTTACTTCAGGGCTTGTCTTTTCGAATTTTTTTAAAAACTAACTCACCTTTAATCTTGCATTAACAATCTTCACAACACATGGGGAGTATCCTGTTTTTTGTTGTTGTTGTTGTTGGGATTTTTTTTTTGTGCCTTAACCCAACTGCTCTACATTAAGTAAAGTTCGAGGATACTCTGGAGTTTAAGACCATCTGGACAGCCAGACCAGGTCTATTCCAATCCAAACCATTTTCCACATGGACAACAATATCATTACCAACATCACCCTTTCCCTATGCTGATCAATGCAGGAAAGAGGACAGGTTGTCCCCATGTTGCTGCCCATGCTCCCCATCAGCCACTGAGCTCTATGCAAGTGCCTGAGTGACCATCATGGTTTTATCTGCTGAAGTCAGAATGCAGCACCCATGTGATCAACAAGAAGGAGGGGGTTGTTCTTCCTTCTCGTTGCCGGTTGCATAGGAACCCGGTTATGACTGTGATTTCCAGGCACTTTCAGGGAGTCCTTTGGGTGGCAGGGAGTGACTGTGGTGACATGGAGGACACAGGGACATTTTGGTGAAGCAATTCAATTTCAGCCCAGCTGGACTCCCTGAAACCATAAATGGGATTAACCATGTACATGTACACTAATTAAAAAATTGACCACTTGTGTGGGGGCCAACTACATCAAGAGTGGCCCTCCAGATGCTATTGAATTGCAATTCCCAACAGCCCCACTGGAAGAACCAATGGCAACGGATGCTAGGAAATGCAGTTCAATATCTGAACGGCTGAATAATACTCATCCCTAAATTAGACCATCCTAGAAGGTTGTTGTTGCCATATCTAGGATAACTGGTTATAGGACTATGTTTAATACACCACAGGAATGTACACGGTGCCGTTTTTCAAAATGGGATCTGGGAAATGCCACTGATCCAGCAACCAAATGTCCAAAAATGGGGCAGGCAATAGGGCTCGAATTAACTCGGCTGAAACTGCCTACATGGCGGCTGATAACGTCTGCTTTTGGTTGTGCCGTGACAGTAGCCAGCCATGCATGGGTAGGGGTTCCCCCTTATCCTTGCCTGAGCCAATCTGAGCAAGAAAGCGGATCATGTGTCTTTTAGCCAAACTGATCTATATATACCAGGGCAAGCTCCTCCATTTTCTTGTAGTGTTCTGGCTTCTGAGAGATTGTGTGTTAGCTAGCTCCGTGTTCTATCTCAGTGCCACCACTACTTAGCATGGCTTGCTTTTGGACTCAATTCTAATCTTTTCCTTTGGCAATTGAATTACATTTTCTTAGTTTAATATCTTTCAGTCCTTTTTTTAGTATTTTGCTAGGGAAGGGCATGTGTTTGGGGGGCAGTAAAAGGGCATTTTTGTGGGGTGTTTGTTTAAATATATTGTTACCTTTGGGGGGGGGGCATTAGTAAAGGAAGGGCATAGCCTGACTCCCTTGAGTCTCCATGGGAAAAATTCAATCCCTTCCCAACCCATATTTACCTTCTTGCTAGCATACTCTGTCCTGAAACCTTCCTCCCCCCCCCCCCCCCCGGTTTTAAAAAAATATTACAAAAAAAAGGCCCTTTCCTCTTGTTCACCCTTTGACTGACTCATTTATTCTCCTTGCCCACCCTACCTTCTGGCTTGTGTGTAATCCTGCCCCAGTTCACCTGGCTTGTGTGTGTGCGTGTGCCCCTTCTCTCAAGCAAGATGTGTGGCTCTTTATGATAGTTGGCAGGAATGATGCCTATACTGTCACTGTGAAGAAATTCCCGTGATACTTTTCTGGGGGGGGGGGGTAAAGAAGATTTTCTTTCTAGAAGCATTAAGAATTTCCTAAAGATCAGTGGATGACCCAAACATTCTGAAATTTGGTGATATTTCAGTGGTAAATGTGTCCTGCAAGTGTGCCCATTTTTGTCCTCATAGCCCTAAAATGATGGAAAAAGGAGCCTCAGAAATTCCCCCATTGCTGCCAATGGGCTGGATCTTCCCAGAGTGAAAATGGAACTTCCAGCTGACAGATCAAAACACAGCATTTTCCCGATTTCAGGTAGCTCCCCAAAAGTGGAACAGGGCCAACAAAAAAAATCAGACATCAAAAACAACATGGGATTTACCCGAATTGCATAGCCCTAATAGAGCACTTGGCCCCCACCCAGGTGCCCTTCCCAGAATGGTGGGAGCCCTCCCAAGATTTACATTGTCAATGTAAAACAAAACAGAAGCAAAACAAAACAAATAAAAAAAACAACCTGTCTAGGCAGCAAGTGTTAACGGGCACAACTGATATTTTAATTTATTCACAATGCCTTTCAGGAGCTGGCATAATGTTACTCTAGAACCCCACTATATTGGGAGCATCCACCATTGCTACCTGGGCTTCACTGATGAGCAGAAGGTATGGCGATGTGGGTTGAAGGTGTAATTTAGCTCAGTAGCTGGCTCCTGAAGGCATAAAGGATTGACAACTGCACCATGGTATTGCATCCATGTTGGGTTTGATTGAACAAGTAACCCTTCCAGAAGAGAATCCCATGATTAATGGCTGAAATATTCTGAAAGTTGCAGAACAGTTCTGAATTTTTTTTAAAAAATGTGCCCAGTTTTTACATGACATAACAGAAGATGAAAACAAAGCCTTTCAAATATTTTTAAGCTAAAGCTCATTTCTGTAGGATATAGAATTTAAATATTCACTTGTGTTTTGTCCTGCTATTTGAAATCAGTGGTTAAATTATCATGACCTAGTTCTTCATTTCAGTTAATTGCCAACATAAATAGTGAATTAGCTGCTAAGAAAATTTGCAATCAACTGTTAATTGTTATTTTAAAAGATTTTTCTCTTTATGTTTTAGAAAAAAAGTCCTTATTTCAGCTTGCAAGAAGAGCAAGGCTGACTTTTTCCCCATGATAAATTGCCTCCAAACCTGCTGCACAAGCAGTGTGAGTCTTGTGTGTGATTTTGATGCAGTCAAGGAAAAGTCAGCATTGTGTGATGCAGCATTTATAGCTATTACAGCTGGATTGACTGCAGTACCTCTGCAAACAGGCTCACATCAGTGGATTTACAATAGGTACCAGCTCTAGCAAGACACATCACAGCATCCAAGGTGAGTCACGAAAGCAGGTGGTAATTTCTAGAGTGTTGATGTTTTTTGACAGAAAGGTCATGAGATGAACAGAAATCATAGATACGTTGTTAAAGATTTCTAGAAATGGGAGAAATAAGCTTCAAACCGGGCATGTACATTCTTGTTTGCTTCATTTTCCGCACTTAGAAGAACAAGATGCTCTCAGTATGGATGTATATTGTAGATATTTCTTTGCGAGATAGGTGCATCCTCCTATCATGTGAATGTCTTAGTTTCTTCTTTGCACAACCCAAACCTCCTTCCCCAAATCCTGCAACACCAATCAGGTTTGTTTTCAAACAGTAGCTTAGCTTGTTCTTATTCATCTCTATATGCCTACAAGCACTGATGAACTTTTGATTCCTGGTGTTCTTAAGTGAGATTGTTTTGCCACTTTCTCTAGTATGAGAGGTCTGCTGCTCGCTAGAAATGCAGATATGTCTGAGGGGAGAGCAAGGAATAGAGTGGTTCCTGATGGCATTGCAAATATATTTCAGTGGAGAAAGCAAGTAGATTTTTAAGGACAGAGGGCATTTGGCATGGATGTTAGTAAGGTTTCACATTTTTGCCTTAACTTTCAGACAATTCCTTTATTTCTGACTTTAGCAAAGAAGGTGTTAGTTTGACTACAAAGTGAAACAACACTGGAGCGACTTACAGGGAGCGGTCTACCCCCCTGTTTAAGGAGCTCCATTGGCTGCCATTCATTTTCCAGTCCCAATTCAAGATGCAGGCTCTTACCTACAAAGCCCTGAACAGTTTGGGACCCGCCTACCTGTGTGTCCACATTTCTGTTTACGAACCCACACGATCTCTTCGATCATCTGGTGAGGCCCTGCTCTCGCTCCTGCCCCCTTTGCAGGCACAATTGGTGGGGACAAGGGAGAGGGCCTTCTCTTTGGTGGCTCCCCGACTCTGGAATTCACTCCCCAAGGATATCAGACAAGCCCCCACATTGGCAGTCTTTAGGATGAGCCTGAAAACGTGGCTGTTCCAGTGTGGTGGCGGGGTATAAATAAAGATTATTATTATTATTATTATTATTATTATTATTATTATTTGAACATGAAAGTTGTAAAATTTGCCTACCAACAACAAACTATAATTTATTCAAAAGAGAAATTGAAGTTTTTAACTTCCTTTTCTTTCAAATTGGAGAAAGAGCCATGAGAGCAAGAAGTGTATATCTCATGCTAGTACAACAGTGTGGTGGTTTGTACAAACACTGATTTGCTATTATATCTAAAGCAGGCTTGAGTGGCCATGTGGAAAACTGGTCAGGAGTGTTTAATAGTTTTGCCAACAAGGGAACTATGGTGTATGAATATTACATGACAAGAGAGGCAGGAATCTTGTTCTTGCAACCACAATATCATATTTATTTATTTATTTATTTATTTATTTATTGCATTTGTTAACCGCCGCTCTCAGCCCTAGGGCGACTCGCGGCGGTGTACAACATATAAAAACAGTATACAATAGAGCACAACAAAATCAACAATTCACTATACACATTAAGCTAATTTACACTAAACTAATCCGCGTCGTCACACATAGAATCATAGCCGATCTCATAGACCGTATTCCGTTCCACTTGTCATTACCCGTATGTATAGCACTCAATTAAATGCCTTTCCAAATAGCCAGGTCTTTAGGCTCTTACGGAAAGCCAAAAGGGAGGGCGCCTGTCTGATTTCAACAGGGAGGGTGTTCCACAGCCGGGGGGCCACCACCGAGAAGGCCCTTTCTCTCGTCCCCGCCAGACGTGCCTGTGAGGCAGGCGGGATCGAGAGAAGGGCCTCCCCAGACGATCTTAAGGCCCTCGTGGGCTCATAGGCCGAGATGCGGTCCGATAGGTATTTTGGGCCGGAACCGTTTAGGGCTTTGTAGGATAACACCAGCACCTTAAATTGGGCCTGGTAGCAGATCGGCAGCCAGTGGAGCTGGGACAACAAGGGCGTTGTGTGCTCCCTGCGTCCTGCTCCCGTTAGTAACATGGCTGCCGCGCGCTGGACTAGCTGAAGCTTCCGGGCCGTCTTCAAGGGCAGCCCCACGTAGAGAGCGTTGCAGTAGTCAAGGCGGGATGTGACCAGAGCGTGTACCACCGTGGCCAAGTCAGACTTCCCAAGGTACGGGCGCAGCTGGCGCACGAGCCTAAGCTGTGCAAATGCTCCCCTGGTCACCCCTGAAACCTGGGGATCCAGGCTCAAAGATGAATCCAGGGTCACACCCAAGCTGCGAACCTGCGCCTTCAAGGGGAGTGCGACCCCGTCCAGCACAGGCTGTAACCCTATACCCTGTTCGGCCTTGCGACTGACCAGGAGTACCTCTGTCTTGTCTGGATTTAATTTCAGTTTGTTCGCCCTCATCCAGACCATTACAGCAGCCAGGCACCGGTTCAGGACCTCGACAGCCTCCTTAGTAGCAGGTGGAAAGGAGTGACAGAGTTGGACATCATCTGCGTACAGATGACACCGCACCCCGAAACTCCGGATGATCTCACCCAGCGGCTTCATGTAGATATTAAACAGCATGGGGGACAGTATAGAACCCTGTGGAACACCACAGGTCAAAGGCTGTAGTGTTGAACAGGAGTCCCCCAGTAACACCTTCTGTGTACGACCCTCCAGGAAATGACTGGAGCCACTGCAAAGCAGTGCCCCCAAGACCCATCTCCGCAAGGCGCCCCAGAAGGATACCGTGGTCGACGGTATCGAAGGCCGCTGAGAGGTCCAGGAGCACCAACAGGGACACACTCCCCCTGTCTAGCTCCCGGCGCAGATCATCCACTAAGGCGACCAAGACCGTCTCGGTTCCATGTCCCGGTCTGAAACCAGACTGTGCCGGATCCAGATATCCGTGTCTCTCAAGAATACCTGGAGTTGTGAGGCCACCACGCTTTCCATGACTTTGCCCAAAAAGGGGAGATTGGAAACAGGCCGAAAGTGGTCAAATTTAGTGGGGTCCAATGATGGTTTCTTCAACAGTGGTTTTATAATTGCTTGTTTTAAGCACGCTGGAATCTCAGGGCCCTTCTACACTAAACACTACTGCGAGTCCGGTCCAACATCCAGGATGCCAGATTAGCTTCACATGGTGCTCATGGTTAACCCTAAATAGACTAGACCCATTAAATCAGTTCTTGAATGGTGTGTCAATGGAGTGGTTTGTTACTTTGATTCAGTGGATCTATTCTACTTTGAACTTGAAATCTTACCCCTATATTTATTAGGCCTAGTGGGTGGAAAAAACTCCAAAGAAGGACCTGTACTTACTAGTTCGGTTTTGAAAGAATGGGAGAGCTAGAGAGGCAAAGAGCTTCTACTGCCAGAAATAAGATTTAAGCTCTTTTCATATAGAAATGGGGTGTTCTAGTATTTACTACAACCTCTTCTTGAACTCACCCCACACTAGGTTCAAACCAATAATTCAGAGGAGCTAATAAACACAAAGCCTTTCAATACAACTGCACAGATGCAAAAGGTAAGTGCTTTGTTTATATCCTCTGCATTCCCCACCAATACCTGCACTTTCTGCTCTTTGCATACAAAAAATTGTGCAAACCCCTCCAGTGGCTTATGCATCCAGCTTGAAAGGGGTGCATAGTCTGTTTTCCTTCTAGTTTCAATATTTCTGTAACCACATTGTGAGAGAAGTATTAGAAAGATGAAACACAATGAGATGCTATACCCTGTCACTCTCACCTACACATCTGGATGGTTTCATCTCTTTTATTCCTTTTGGTGGAGTTAATCAAAAGTGGACACAGGAAGCTACAGCTTTAAGTGCTGTGCAAATGTCAGCGTCCTCTAGCTATGGTGCTCTTTCAAATGTAGCCACAAAAAAATGAAACAAAAAGACATGGCTATGCCCTTGTTCTATAAAGCCGCTGGTGGCCTGTCAGCTTGAAGCCATCCTGTCCCACAGATAACAATTAGGACTGGATTCATCAAAGGGCAGCAATTACTCTGAGACCTTCATTCTAAGAAGGTTTCAAGTAGAATACCAATTAATAGTCTGTGCTGCACTGTAATCAGTGAGGATTTATATTTTGTGTTTTCATATCCGAAGGGACGACTCTCACCTCACTTCATGCATACTAAAGCCAATAGTCAAAGTAGGCTTTGAATTCATTGTAGATGGTATGTTTGAAATTTGGCCTTAAATGTTTAATTTTCAATCTGACAATTCTATGGCCTAACATTTCTAAAATACAGAAGCAAAACCAGTTTAAAACATGTCATTCTATTTTAAGAAGAACTCTGTTTATGTTTTGAAAGGAAGAAATACTCAAATGAGAACATACACAAAAGTAGCATACAAAATGTTTTGAAAACATTTTGGAATAAATCCAACTTAGAACATCTGCATTTAAGTCAGTCCTAATGGTTCAATGGGTCAACTTTACTGGGGAATTAATAACTTCATTTTGTGTTTTATAGGTTCACTTTGAATTTAGAGGTTGCCATGAATTTGCAGCTCCCATATTTGAAATTCTGAATCTACTGAAATTATTCCCTTAACAGATGTAGTAGCAGCAGTAGTCGCCAGTTCTAACAAAATAATGACTGCATATCTTATGATGTGATTTCAAAATGAAATTATGTCCAATGTATCAATAAGTAGCATTCCGTAAATTATTTCTGGGGCCCTGTGGGCTATAGGTCACAGAAGTGCTGGGTTGTCAACACAAATGCAATTGAATGGTAGCGTCTACATCCTTGAAGGAGTCATTGAAGGTCTAAGCATGATTAGAGGTACCAAAGGTAGTTTTCAATTGTAAGGAAGGAAGATGTGCCTGAATGGACTTGGAGAAGCCTTAGAACTGCAGGAGGATAGTGAATTACATGAGGCAGATTTAAGATCTATTACATTGTTATATTTACAGTATTTCCTCCCAAGTATTTCCTCCCAAGAATCAAACCAGTAGTTCTCAACCTGTTGGTCCCCAGGTGTTTTAGTCCACAACTCCCAGAAATTCCAGCCAGTTTACCAGCTGTTAGGATTTCAGGGAGTTGAAGGCCAAAACATCTGGGGACCCACAAGAATCAATGTGATAAATGTAAGTGTTGACTCGCGATTCAATTACTGAGTCAATTGATTAATTCTAGTTGGGACTAACCATAGGATTCAGGCATGTGTGGTTATCTGGAAGACACCTGAACTGATGCCATTAAAGATGACGTGGATATGGCTAGAACATAGGTGGAGGAAATATTTATGAGTGAGAACCCTTTATTGGATGTCCATACCCTGTGATGGTAATAACAGACAAAAAGGGTTCTTTTTCTCAATTTTTGCATCATTATAGTGTCATCTAGTGGAGCTTTTCTGAAATGGAGTGGGGCCTCTTGAAATCTACTTCAGGGGTATAAGTGTGATAGATGCTTACTTACATATCTTTACAAATGTGTAAGATGGTTTGTGGGTAATGTCATTGGTGGCTTTATTTTCTGCTATTATAATATCACAATTTATATGATCTTCATTTATCAAAGCCTGAGAATGTAGATAAGATGTTTGGCCTAGTCAAGCACATTAGCCCTTCTCTAATTTTCATCTTTAGAGACAATGCAGCTCCACCTTCTTCTTCTTTTAAAAGCAATAATGTGACTATTGTTGAAGAAACTAGCCTGAACTGTTAGCCACTATTTAACATTCCCTTTTTGACCAAGGCAAAGAGAGCAATGGTTTGCCAACTGTAACAATTTTTAGATGCTATTAATCAACCAGAATTATTTCAATGTAATTTCTGTCTGATTCCGCAATGGAAATTCTATTTATCAACCTATGGGATAACTTTTGCATTGTGTTTAAAGGCCTTGAATTCTTTGAAGTAATATAGTGAACTCATTAGATACATAAAAGACATAGACTTTATTGTTTTGTGGTGCCTTTCTTTTCCAAAGCCAAAGTCCAACTGTTGTAGCCTTCTCAAACTCCTATTAGAAAACTTAGAGTGGATGGTTTACACTTAGACAAAGACATTTGAAGAAACCTGGACTGGATCAGCAAATGAACCAGCCACAAACATTACACTTTCCTTGATAAAAATGAGGTGTATGTGATTCTATTGATACACCTATATCTCTCGGATATTTTGATACCCTTGAGCAAATCCTTTTGGATGAATGAATAATTTATTATGATCAACAGATCAGACAAAAATAAAGTCACATAAAACCAAACACTTTTAAATCCTTTTGGATAATCTGTCCAGGTTGGTCATTGAAGCACTTCCATTCTTATTTAAATGGTCATTTCCTAGAATTCACTGACCAACACACATATTGGTGCCTTAAATGTTAGACCTGTTTCTTGGTATATTTGACCTACTGATTCCAAAAATGGCACCAGTTTTTCCCTATCAGCTCTAGTTTTTGAGATATATAACATATGCTATATAGCAATCATCATCCGCTTATCCGCTTACCCATAGAAAAACACAATTTGTGCTCATTTCAACTGCAGATTTTAAAATGTTCTTATTTTTTGTGTTGCCTTTTAGTCGACTATCTATTTTGGGCTGCAAAAAGACTTCTGTTGTGGCAGCGATAAATTAATTTATAATAATCAAAATTAATTAAAATAATTAATATATGAATCAATAGATGGAATGGACTAAAAATATTAGATGTTTACAGCCTAGAACAAGTGAGACTTGGGGCCCTTCCACACAACCCTCTATCCCAGAATATTGAGACAGAAAATCCCACAACATCTGCTTCGAAGTGAGATATCTTAGTCCAAACTCAGATAATTTGGGATTTTCTGCCTTGATATTCTGGGATATAGAGCTGGGTGGAGGGGCCCTTGGAAGCACTTTTATAAGTCTGTTGGTAGCACTTCATTTTTACCCATCTAGCTCTTGTACATCATGTGCTAGCTAGCTTAAATGACTAGCTCATCTCCTTCTCCTTGGAATTTTCTCCCCTACTATTAGAAAGGAAAGCCATTATTTGGGTGTATGAGGAACCATTAGTATGAAAAGGCTTATCACATTTGACTTACAGATTCTTTTTCTCAGAGCTGAAACCATTTATGCATCTGTGAAACCTAGAGACTGCAAGCAATCTATAGGCTATCTCCTTCCTTCCTTCTTTCTTTCTTCTTTCCTTTCTTGATGTGGGAGAGCATCCAAAATGAATGTAGGTCATGAAAAAAAATATGTATATACAAACTTCCTCTACAAAAATATGCAGACTAAGTTCTTATAACTGATTCCTATTTTGGGTTTCATTTTTACATCATTTTCTCTGTGAAGGGGAAAAGAAAACAAGATTCCAAACAATCAAATGAGCATTAGCCACCCATGATAACAAATCATATTGACACTTCAATAGCAAATCACTCCATTAGTAAAACATGTTTGAACTGCAAATCCTGTAGATATAAGTATTTTCTGTCAACGCTGAATGGTTTTGATAGCTGAAAGACCTTAGCGACAAAGCTTACCAAACTTATTGATGTTCCCTGAATTATAATAAGATGAAGAAAAAGGACAGACTTTGAACAGTGTGTTTATATGCAGTCGGCACAAGTTCATATACAACCCTTCTTTTGATAAGGCCACTTTATCAAAGTCACAGAGAGTAAGCTCCATGTGTGCCATTATCCCCTGTGACAATTGAAGGTCCTTTTTCATTTGGGCATTTTCCCCATTTCAAAATAATAGAAGCCTTCTTGCCTTCTATAGCTACCTTAACACTGCTGTTCTTAATACTTTACCATACCATACTGTAGTAACATGGCAATGATGTTGTTTAAACAAACAAAAACATACAATTAGTAGAACAATCACTTTCCCAGTTCACTGCAAATTCATTATGCTGGCGCTTTGCTGATATGGATGTGAATAATGAGTCTTCCATACAACCCTATTTCCTACCTGTATTTGCCCTATGCTGTGCATGGGTGCTGTCTTCCTGAGTTGTGCAGTTTCAACGTTCCCATGAGACCTTCTTCTACTCCACAATACTGGGATAACAGTGGAAGGCAGCTATCACACATAAAAAAGTGGCCGAACAATAGTAATATCGGATTCATTGCCAGATTTTTCTTGTAAATGAAAATAATAAGAATAATAAACTTTATTTGTACCCCGCCACCATCTCCCCAAAGGGGACTCAGAGTGGCTTACATGGGGCCAAGCCCGAACAAAATTACAATATAACAAAACAAATTACAATCAAATATACAACATAACAGTAAAATATAAAACATCAAAGCATATAAAACAATATACACAAAACATAAGAACTAAGCAATATGGCAGACAAACAAAGGGCGGGCCGCATGTACATAAAATGATTTAAAAACTCAGAGTGAGATAAGGGGGGAGAACTAATTGTAAGAGCGAACTCATAGAGAGATAAGAAATTAAGCCAACCTTCGTGTGGGGGAGGGGGACTCCTGGGACAAGAACATTGGAGGAACATTAGCATAAAATTATGTGGCTACTCTTCAAAAGCGCGACGGCAGATCCAGGTCTTAAGACTCTTTTTAAAAGTTAAAAAGAGTCTTTAAAAAAGAGACTTTTAAAAAGTGCAATGCAACTATGGTTAGACACGGCATTGTGTGATAAGCCTCAACAAAAGGTTATTTTATCACGCCTTTTGTAACCTTCACAGTCTGAGAAAACATTGTAACTTAAGCATACATAGCTTCCAGACCTTTGGGGATGCACAGATTCCCACAAGTCCCATTTGAATGCACATTCAGCACTATCTGCATTTGCTTCTTATGTTAAAAACTTCATGGTGGTCAATTTTGCCACATTTTCCCATAAGCCAACCTGATTCATGTTCCCGGGTTTCCCTCTACTCGCAAAACCTGGAGATGATTGGATGTCGCTTCTGTTCCCCCCCCCCCCCCCGGAAAGGTTCATCAGGCCTAAAAGAAATTGGGTTGAATGATGGGAGTGGGTGGGCACGATTTGGAGAAGGAAACCTAAAAGGTTAGTGAACCAAAACTCACACCATCTAGAGGGCACATGTGGCCTTTTAAAGTCAAACAAAAATATGCATGGGTGCTGGGAGAGGCAGGCATGTAGCCTATGGGCTGCACTTTGCCACCCACTGTTCCAGCTGGTTTCCATTTATTATAGTTTTAATTAACTAAACGTAAAGCATTTGGAATTGATTTAATCCTTTGGGCTCACCCTTCATTCTCCTTTGATTCAAAACTTCTCCCCCCCCCCCTGCACTCCCTAAGCTTGAAAAAATGGTTAATTTACTTGTTAAAAGTATAAGATTTCCCCATAATGAAGCTGAAATCCATAGGTTTCTTAATTAACACTATCGTTTGTCTAACACTTAAATGGAACAAGTTGGTTTTTAAAAAATATCAGTTGAATTCTCTAGATGCAGAAGGCTGTCGCTCTGCCAGGAAGACCTCAGGAGAAGCACAATTAGGACTGAAGGAAATGCCTGTGTTGGCTGGTTTACAATTGTCCTGATGCTTTATTAGGGTTTTTTTAAGTGACAAGTCTTTATCCAGAATGCATCTTTGTCTTTATATGGGAAGTGATGGCATCAGTAAGAGGATCACAAGTGACCCATTCAGAATATAGGCTTTAGACTGAGAGTAACATTTCCATTCATTCCACCTATTGGGCCCATGGAAGCTACTTGGAGTATTTCTAGATGGTAACTGGGGAGAGCATGAATCCTCCTCTATTTTTATCTTATTTTCTGCTTTGTAGCAGTAAATTCAATTGTAGTAAACTCAAATGAGCCACAGAACCAGATGAGACTTAACCATCTCTTTACATTTTTGCCCCATTTTGCAGCTTTGTTTTGCAGCAAGGATGGGGCCTGCTGTGTGCCATCAAATGACGCATGGCAGGCCCCACCCACATTCCTCCCAAAGTGACCTCCATCACTACAGGGGAGGAAAGCATATTTTGAGTAGCTGTATTTTCCTCCCCTTTCCCCATATGATGGGGACAGAGAGGGTGAGGCAATGCGCCTTGCCACCCTTTCTCCCATCTGATGGAGACATGAACAGGGTTCCAACATACCCTGTCCCATCCCCACCATGTGATGGGGTAAGGAGGGAGGGTGCACGGGGTGCCATGAACTGCCCCATGCACCTTCCTTTTGGCTGGCTTATTAAGTACTAATAAGATGTCAGATGTAAGGCTGACAGAACAAAAACTGGGTCTCCTATACATCTCATAGTTGCATAGAAAGAAAGAAAAATCAGCAGATGCCGTTTGTTACCTGGTTGCAGGATAATAAAACTTGTTAAATTCCATCTACATTAATTGTATTAAAGTATCCAATATGGCAATCTTGGATTGGGGCTTTATGTGGCCCACCTGTTGTATCTGTGCTACCTTCTCATCTATGACTAACAGGTTTTGACACATTTCATGAACATGTCCATTTTTTTCAGGCATGGCATGGCATGCAGGCACAACTTTTACTACATGGAGGTCATTTGAAAATAACCAAATGGTAAAGGCAATGTGTCCTTCCAACCTCAGTTAATAGGCAGTTCATATGTGTGAATTCCTTCCATCAAATTATAAAGTAGACTTTTGTAAGTGCAAATAAGAGGAGGATGAATCCCGTAATTTGGATTATTTACTAAAATAATTGTGAGGATGGATATCTTAGACAGTGATACCATCAGTAGTGGGATTACAGTTTACATATGGCTACCTTGAGAGGGTATTCCCAAACTGAATATGAGAGCCTGTAAAGACCTGTGTATGAGAATAACAATAACTTTCTGTCTCTCAAGTTTTGCATGGCATCTTTTCCCCCCAGTCATCCTTTTTTGTGGTCACTTAAGAGTAGTGAATCATGGCTATGTGAGTCACACATGGATACAATCTCCATGGCAACTTGGTCACTTGAGTTAGAAATATGAGCTGGCAGTTCAAGGTTACTTTTTCCGAATGCTTTTAAAGTAACCATTAGCTTTATGATTTAGTCTCCATTCTGAAGTAAGATCTCCATAACTAAATTCCATTTTCATAGTGGTTACAGCATTCCAAAGTGCAGGTTAGATGGCATTTCCTTCCTGGAAATAATTTCATTCTATAAAGGAGTAATCACTCTTGATGAAGAAAGGCAGATGGTAGGACAAAACCATTATGCATGTGTGTTCTTGCTTCTGTACTATTGAAAGCATTGTGTTTAGCAATATTGTTGTCCTTTCCTTTAGATCAGAAGTTCTGAACCTGGGGGCCCATGATCATACTCGAGGGGCGCAATGAACCAGGCATGAAGAATAATTCCCCCATTTTGATTTTTTCCTATTTGAATTTTTCTGTACTGAAATTTTCAAGGGAAAGTTGGTCTTTCGAATTTACATTTTATTCTTACCACAAAAATGCACAAAGAAATGTATTTCTAATACAATAAGAGAAACAAACTTGAATACACATTTGTGTCTGTCTTTCAGGGCAGGGCCTTGGGTTTCATCAGATAAGAACCACTGTTTTACATGGTGCTCTTTTTCAGTGTAGATATAAGCCACTGCTGTGTAAGCAAAGACATATATAAACCATATAAAAACTAGACTGAATTTCCACCTCATTTAATACATGTGAGGATTCTACAATTTTAATTTATGGACCCAATTTGTCCTTCTTGTTCACACAGGTGCAAAATGCCTCAAAAGTGAGGCATCATCCCCGTACCCTTGATTACAAGCATCATTTCCTGCTGTTGTCCGCACCCACAAAATGCAGTGATCAGGAATATGAGAAAGGTGATGTATTTCCTTGCTGTTCTTTTGTAACCTGACATGAAGTAGACAGACACCTTCTGAAGTTTCTGCATGCTGTGCTTCTCTCCCCACACCCTCACTGCAACAAGACAAGCCTTTTCTTTTAACCTGGCTTCCTTTGAAGAAGTGACTCAGGCAGCTTCATGGCCTCTCAAGGTAAGTGATTATATATAACCTATAAAGGTATGTTTATGAGAGAGAGAGAGAGAGAGAGAGAGAGAGAGAGAGAGAGAGAGAGGAGCCCACCCCTAACAGTACACAGCAATCAGCAATCTGATTAAATAGGAAAGTGACAAAGACACAGTAATTTGTGCTCTCACTATGCTGTAACAGAGGTGGAATATAATAGAATGTCAAATATAATCTGTAAATTTAAAGCTACATTTCCCGGCGGATGTTTGATGTGGGAAAAAGCTCAACACCTGCCTTGGTCTACGCATGTATGCATGCTATTTATTCCTCAGTAAGGAACATGGAAAGGTCATGCTTCCACTAAAAAGGTTTTTTCATCCTTTGCACACATTGCAGCTGAGAAATCTTGCATCAGGAAGTAGTGAGCCTTTTGAACATGGTTGACAAAATTCTCTCTAACAAGCTTCTGAAGGACAATTGAGTGCAATCAGACTGAAGGGAAGTTCATACCATGTCTTCACTTCAGTTCCAGACAGCTGACTTCTCATTAAAGGTGAAAATTGCAGCCGAATGAAAGGCTTTCCCAAGTTTTCTCCTTCAAAATAATAATGAAATGTTACACTTAAAAATGCAGTCAAATTCTTTTCTCACACCTAGCAGCTTGCCTCTTTAAAGACCATAGGTGTTACAATTTGGCACAGGGATTTTCTAGCAGTACTAACAAGTTCACACCCAGGTTTCCTCCTTCTCTTTTCCCCACAAGAATTATACATAAAACTCTCCTTTAACATAGCAGTGCTGAGATGCTTTTTCTGGTCCTTTTTCTCATATGTCATCTACAGAAGCTTATGCTATAATGCATTTGTTCTTTTCCAGTTTGCCACAATATTATTTCGTTTTGCTGTAATAGATGTACTGGGGTATATGAATTAATGTACTTCTAAATGCATTATAAACATTAGTTCTCACACCTACAAAATGGAAGAAATAAAGTCCCTCCTCCCTGGGTAGTTGTGTGGGAAAAAGCGATGTAAATATGATCAGCCACTCCACCAAATTGAATGTTCTTCTTTCCATGAAAGAAAACACTTTTGCATAATGTTTAAATGAGGTTACTAAAATCATTCCATCAGTAAGTAAGCAAAAGCCACAAATCTATATCTAATTTAAACCCTTTTAAAATGGCATATTATCAACATTGGCTTTAGTTACAACATGACATATTTTAGGCATGTGGAAAATAGCTGAAATAGATCCCCAACACAACACTGTAACAAATGCATACAATAATACACACCACCCTCCAAGATGCCTTAAATTTCCATGAATATTTAGTGCACCTGCTGCTTCCTTTTCTGTAGCTTAAGTCTGACTGACAGAGAAGACTTCACTGTGCCTTCTGTTTCTTCCTCCTTCAGAAATGACACTAGCACTTGGCTAATAAAACTTCATGGCATTTCATGTAACACAGGTTTTGGCAAGAACAGGACTGTGAGGTAAAGTGATACTGGAGAGCAGATGAAATATTTATGACTCTGTTATACATTTTTTAAAAGCTAGATAGAAATTCAAAGGGATTCCTCCTTCTTCCTGTGGTCTCAGGCTTTGAAGGAAAGCTGTGGCTGCAATGATAAATTAAGATCAAAATATGATTACATGATAGAATAGCTTCACTCACATTCAAATAATGGGAAAGGCCTCTTTGAAAACCATAGTAGCAGAAAGGACAACTCCATGGTTACAATCAAATTATAAAAACCTTATGTCATGTAGGGGGTTTCTCCAAATGGGATATTCAATCCCCTAAAATCTTGAAAAAGTGTGCGCGGCCAGGAGAACATGGTCGGGGAGGAAGAGACGGGCAGGAAAAATCATGGGTGCTTGGGTTTTTGTAACATTAAAGAGTACAGATGAGAGATGAACAGAAATGGCAATATTAAGAATGAAAGGCCTGTAGACCATAAAGATCCATACTGCATATGCACATTGCTATACTGAATACATCCTACTAACACTAGCAAAAGGTGGATCAGATGCTGAAAAAAGAAAGCTTAAGAATACATTTGCTGCACTATAGGATGAAGAGAAGCCCTATGTGTTGTTGCTGTTGCTGTGGTTGCCATTATCAAATTGTACATTACTAATTATTTTGATCACTTAATAGGTCATTGATGACCAACCATGGAATCACGAGATCAGACACAGAAAGGTGGGTTTAATAAGTGCCACTTTATTTGACCGATATCCTACTTAAGATAATTGGACCAGAAAGGAGCAAGAGGGGACAGCAACCTAATATGGGCCCAGCTGAGATCAGATGTCGATCCTAGACTACCTCCTCAGCCTTGCCTTGGGTGAAATTTCTGAGTCCCTAGGACAAACCAGTAGTTTGGTTGCTCCCCAGCTGGCCACTTATTACAAATTAAATCCACATCCCAAGATCTTGTAAGTGAGAGTAAAATCCCCAGTCAGCCTTAGGGATAGACTCCTTCCTCATCTCCAAATCATGGGACCTGCATGGACCTTTCTAGAGCCCATCCATCATCAAAAGAAGTGCTAAGGTATACATTGAACTCTTAAATTCTCCCACTATTCAAAATCCATCAGATACAGTATGGAGTAGACAAAAAATCCAAGAATATGTCTACCCAGCCCCAACACAAACATAGAACTCATACTGCACTGAAAGCAGGAGAGTGGCCTATACCAGGGGTCCTCAAACTTTTTAAACAGAGGGCCAGGTCACAGTCCCTCAAACTGTTGGAGGGCTGGATTAAAATTTGAAAAAAGCATGAATGAATTCCTATGCACAGTGCACATATCTTACTTGTAGTGCAAAACACTTTAAAACAATACAATAATTAAAATGAAGAACAATTTTAACAAATATAAACTTATTAGTATTTTAATGGGAAGTGTGGGCCTGCTTTTGGCTGATGAGATAGGATTGTTGTTGTTGTGTGCTTTCAAGTCATTTCAGACTTAGGTTGACCCTGAGCGAGGGCCGGATAAATGACCTTGGAGGGCCGTATTCGGCCGTCGGGCCTTAGTTTGAGGACCCCTGGGCTATACTGTGATAAGCCAGAAATGCATGTGAGGGGGCAACTAGGATTTAAATAGCCAATGACCCCAGCCCATCATGTGATACACCATATGTAAAGCCTCAGAGGACCATGGAGACATCAAGAGAGTACCTTTCTCCATAGTGCTTTTTGCCACACTTATCCAGGTACACAATATTTGCTACTGTTAATTGCTACTGCTAAATACAATACTCCAGATGAAGTCTGACCACAACAGAATATAACTGGACTATTGCTTCCCTCAGCTTGGAAACTGTGCTTCTAAAATAGCATTTGGCTTCTTTGTTGCAGCATCACATTGCTGCCTCATGTTTAATTTATGTGCTACAATAAACTAAGGTCCTATTCACATGTAGCAATATCAAGCAATGTGTCTTGCATCCTATACCTATGAATATTGCTTTTGTAACCTCATATAGAATTTTGCATGGGCCTATATTAAATTTCATTTTATTAATTTCTGCCCAATTTTTTGTTTGGCCCCTTCTGCACTGCCATATAATCCAGATTATCAAAACAAGTAATCCAGATTATCTGATTTGAACTGGATTATATGAGTGTACACTGCCATATAATCCAGGTCAAAGTAGATAATCTGGATGTTATAGGGCAATGTAGAAGGGCCCTTTATCTAGTTCCTTGAAATTACATGCCTATCTTCCAATTTGTTAGCCACCGCTTCCAGTTTTATACCATCTCTAAACTTAATAAGAAGTTTACAGATGGTATAAAACTTTCATGTGAGGCTCCTTGGACACTGTCATATAATCCTGATTATCAAAGTAGATAATCCACATTATCTGCTTTGAACTGAATTATATGAGTCTACACTATCATATAATCCAGTTCAAAGCAGATAATCTGGGTTTTAAATAGTAGTGTAGAAGGGGCCTAAGTCATTGCTAAAAACATTGAAGCATAATGACCCTTGGATAGAACCCAGAAGCACTCCATTTGAGACCTCCTTCCAATTTGAAGCACAGCAATCAATGATGATTCTTTCATTACTAACATACTGTTTCAATGCAGATTCTTTAGGACAGGTCTACAAACCTGTACAAGAGCCTCTTCCTGGTTCTCCAGACCCTCCAGATCTAGCCAAACTTTCAGAAACAGCCATCACCTGGAAACAAGCCCAGCCTCCTGGTCCTTTGCCTCCTGGTTTGGAATCCTTAAAACAGGTCATTTAATCTTTCAGATGCTTAACTTAAGAGTATAGAAGATTTTCTGTAAGACACTTTCTTGAATGTGCTTTGAACCAAATAATTTGATGTTTCTTTCTTATATTTCTGTAAAATGTATCCATAATTTTTAAAAACAATCACCATGGGATTACCAAAGATGATTTTGCTTTTATTTCTTCCAACTGTATTTTGGTTGAAATCACTTTTCTTCAGAGAAGCAGAAGAATTTCAGATGATGCTTCCATCACACTCCTTGAGAAAGTTACAAATTACTTTTTCTGAAGACTTAAAAACAGCCCTTTTCAACTTGATGTCATCCTGTTAAGATGGTCAGAGATGCAAGATCATTGCATTTGAAGTATGAAACATAGGGAGATAGCAGATAATGAGGATGCTGCATTGCTTCTATTGAATTTGTTTAAAATGTGTATACCTATTGCTTCCCAGCCCACAAAGGTTTCTAAGACAATGCACAAAACATAAAAGAGATTTCTTAAACCAAAACTTCAAAATATAAAGTGTTTCAAAAATATGGAGCATGTATATTAAAATAGACTTTAAAATTGTTATTTTTTTTAAAAAAAATTCCTTTAATATGATTTTATGACCGTGGTTCTCAACCTGTGGGTACCCAGGTGTTTTGGCCTACAACTCCCAGAAATCCCCACCAGTTTTCCAGCTGTTAGGATATCTGGAAGTTGAAGGCCAAAAAATCTGGGGACCCACAGGTTAAGAACCACTGTTTTATGACAAGCAATTAAACAAATTAGGTTTCAGTGTATTTATAATATTTAAGCAGGCATTTGTAATATCTCCTTGCTTTTGGAGCCCAAAACTCATTATAAGATGCACCATGCAGGAGTTATTGGGAAATGGGGGATTCCTTGTTCCAAAGAAGAGGTGGGTATGTTCGCAGGAGTATTTTTCACACAACTCCTCTGTACCTCCAGTGGGTAGCATCACAATTCCAAAACAAAATGCAAAGTGTCACATTTGGTTTTATAGTTTTATTTGGGACTGCGTTTTGTCCCCTACACTCTTCCTCCACTGCTTTTTTATTTCTGTTTTGAGGAGGGGAGACAGAAGGCTGGGATAGTAGGGGCAAAATCAATGTTTGCAATTTTGTTGCAGATTTGTGAGGTTTCAAAAGCTATCCAGGTGTGAAATCACAATTATTTTTTCTCCCAAAAATGGCCAGGGGTCTTGTGACATCTTCTGGGGCCCCTCAAGAGCTGCAAAGCAGGGTATTGCAGGCTTATGAAGATTATGTGCCATATTTTCTCTGTCTTCATCTAAAACCATAAACAGTTTAAGCCTCCTTTGGTTGACTCCGAAGGCATGGAAGAATAGACTGCCCCAAATAGGAATAGATTTAAAGGCAAGTATTCTTCTGAATTCTTACTAGTAGGCCTGTGCGGTTTCGTTCGTTAATTTTGTAATTCGTTAAACATTCGTTAATTTTTACATATACGAAACGATAACAAAACACTTTTTTAAACCCGGAAGGGTTTAAAAATAACGAGGCGGCATCCCCCATCCTTTTAACGAGTTTCCGCCTGTTTCGGAAATTGGATGGAGGATGCTGCTGGACGGTGCCTGGGAGCCAATCCGGCGCTCCGGCGCCCCTTTCTCTTTGCCCCGCCCCTCCCCCGCGAGCGCGCTTTGCCTCCTTGCTTGCTTGCTTGGCTTCGGCTTGGCTTTCCCTTCCCGGCAGAAGGATGGCGGCGAGCAGCGCAGCGACTGCTGCAGCCGCGGCTGTGGCGGCCGAGAAGGAGGCGAGCCAGCAGAGCAGCCTGGGCGCCGCCGCCTACTCGCCTGTGGATTACATGCATCACCAGCTTTCCCCGGCTGCCCGAGGAGGAGGCGGCGGCGGCAGGAGGAGGAGGAGGAGGGGGCTCGGAGAGCTGCCTCCGCTCCCGCAAGGAGGAGGATGCTTTGGAGTTCAACTCCCAGTGGGGACCCCCAAAGGTCATCCAGTCCATCCCCCTTAACGAATCGACCCCGCGGCAAAAAGTAAGCTTCGGAAATGTTTTGCGCATGCGCGCGGGGGTCCGCCATCTTTACAAAATGTTTTGTAAATATTTACGAAATTTCGTAAATACCAAAACTTTTTTTTGGGAAAGTTTTGTAAATATTTTAAATATCGAAACAAAAAAACACCCCAATTACAAATCGATTTTAGAAACAAATTTTTTCTTCATCAAACAGGCCTACTTACTAGGGATCCGCCCAGACAGCCCCTTGATTGTGGAAACTTCTGCAATAAAAAGGGGGCTGTCCAGATAACATTCTGGGCAGTCCCACATTAATTCAGCACAAACCAGGAAAACCCTAATTTGTTAGTGGATTTATTCTGCGCCTTCGTGGAAGGTACCGGATAAATCCAGTACTCCCGGGTCTGGACTGCAGAATACTGCAGCCCAGACACCATTCCTGCAATTTACCAGGCTAAATAAGCCTGGTAAACTGTGGAAATCCCACCCCTCCTCCCAAGCCCCTAGACCGCTTAGAAAAATAGTAAAAACTTACCTATCTTCCATTATAAACCTGGGCAAGCTCTCCTAGCACGTAGAAATGACGTGTCAGGAGAATGGGGGGGGGGGAGGGAAATCCCCCCCTGCTCTCCTGATGCATCATTTCTACATGTCAGGAGAGCTTGCCCAGGCTTCTAATAGAGAATAGGTATGTTTTACTACTTTTCTAAGGGGTCTGGGGGCTTGGGGGGTAGGGCCTCCAGATGTTCTCTTAAGAGAACATCTGGACACCCACACCAGAAAGCACATGCTGGGTGTGAACAGTCCCCCACAAACATCCATTTTTTTTAATGTGGCTGTTTGTGGGATAAAGGGCTGTCTGGAACCGCCCTAGATTGCTGCAAACTGAACACCTTCACAGCTACAACAACATGATGCTTGTTTGCTATCCTCCTTCCTCTGAAGTAGCTTTTCTCAGCCTTTTACCTAGTGAAAGATTATAGGAAATGTACAATTTTACTTGTGACTTTGGTATATGTTAGTTTTCCAGAACCTTATTCTTGTCTAACAAGAATAGCATTCAGATATAGTCTCCTGACAGACTAATGCAACCAGCTCGAGGTGGATCAGAGGTCATTGCATGGTGTTGTAGAGACATACATGGTTTTAGGGCACCACTTTCTTTTAGTTCTGTTGCTGTTGTCTTGGCTTTTTCACAAGCAGCCTGCTTATTTCCATCTAATATTCTGCTGCAGGCTCAGAGTTGTCGAATGAAAGAAGCTAGCTTTGAGGATTTTCTAAAAACTTCAACTTTTGATTTATAGCTGGACCAAACTCTAGTGAAATCAGATCTAAATTATGAAGCCTTAGAACTCCTGTCACATCATCGTTTCACTCAGATCTAAGACTTCTTGCCTTCGAATATCATAGATGATCAAACACTTCCAAATACTCTGTGGAAATTGTTAATAGAAAGCCTGTTTCAAAACAAGGGCAAAGCTCCTTCACAAAGCAAGGAGGGGGCTTTCTGTGTATGTGTGCTTTTGTCTTTTTGAGAATTGAACTTGGGAGTTTGCCTCAATTTTATTCCTGCCTTTTCTCTACCTTGAAACAGAGAAGAAACTTCTATGCAGTCAAAGGGACCTACTTGAATATTTCCAAAAGTGATTGTGGCAATGGTGCTATTGAGAGTAATGTTTCTGTTCTTTGTATTCATGTTTTTTTATTCTAATGGTGTTTCCTCCTGAGTGATGCATGTCTGTAAACACAAACATGTAGTGGGGAGACATACACTGAATTTTCTACCTGAGTGAAAACTTTGTATTTCTGAATACTTGTCTATTCCAGTCATGTAAGGACTCTATATGGGACCACAATGTGATAGTAAACAATCATATGCTTTCTAAACTAAACATATGAAATATTTGAGTTCATGAGGTACCAAAGCCATAAACCTGATCTTTCATGAAATAGACATTTCTCATTGAGGATTTGTTTCTAATACTCTAGTGATAGAAAGTGTAATATTAGCTTTTTTATTCAGAGTTGAAATTCATGTTAGTCTGGAATATCAGTATTGAAAGATATCTTGTGCCTTAGACACTAACTGAGAGAACTGAGTTGGTAACATAAGGTTTCACGGAATAAGGGCCTAATCATCTGAGCCTCCTCTTCTACCACAATTGTGTTCCCTTAAATGTTATTCAAGCAAGATTGTTTTCCCTTTCTATCATATCTTCAGAACCATTGTGGGATTGCAGTGTCCAAACATACACACACGGTGTTATACCATTGTAGCACTACAGTGCCATTACAGCATTGTAACTGGCCTTCCCCCAGACTTTAATCCAATCTCAGAGATGACCTGAGAGCTGCCTGGGATACATAGTCTGCAGTGCCTCCCAGGCCTATCTGTTCCACATCTCCAGTCTCCAGAGCTTCTCCTAAGACTCAGAACACATCTACACGGGCCACAAACAGTTATATTGATCTCTAGTGAAATACTTTGGATCAGCATTGCCAAGGTCTTCAGTCAGCTGGATTGGAGGTTGGCAGGTGCCTGGTTTGCATGCCCCCAAGTCAACCCAGAAAATGGATGACATTCACGTGTCCTAGCACCACTGAAACCAGTTGCTTCTGGACTGCTTACATCATTCTGGGCCATGGGGTGCCCACTGGGTACAAAAATAATGCTGGTTGCAAATTAGTGCCTCTGATGATAGAGTGACAAAGCAATGCAAGAAAGGGGAAGAAGGAAAGGAGATCCTCTGAAGATTCCAGCAACAGATGCAGGTGAAGTGTCAGGAGAAAATGCTGCTAGAACATGGCCATACAGCCCAGAAACTGTACAATATAACAAAGGAGAAATTGATCTCTCCTTCTCATTCTTCTTTGATCCTCTTGGTGCTCTGGGTAGCTTCATTACAGGTGCCTAGTGATGAACATCTTCATTTTCATGCCTCTGCGCATTGCAAAGACCCAATCAACAGCTACCTGAGCCTGAGGAAAGCAGTATGGCACTATAAACAGCCACAGCTGTTTCCAAAATAGGAAGCAGATCAGCTGCTTATACTGGCCCAAAATACAGGAGAGTCCCAGAGTTCCCATGACTTTTTAAAATGAGGAACAAGGCTGAATTAAGTAGCAAATAGACTCCCGTGTTTTATGTGGTCAGCGGAGTGTTTATTCACTCCCAAACTGACTCATTTGGCCCATGTAGATGGGCCCTCAAGAGGAAAGGGCCAGAATTGAGTGCCATCTTCTGACAATTGCCACCGCCACCATTCAAATTGTTATGTTCACCCACTCAAAGCACTATACTGCTCCAAAATTGGAGCAAAAATACAATGGAGATTTCGCACAGGAAATCGTTGCACAATATAAGTGAGAAAGGAACTCATCAATGGATTTTTTCAGTTAGAAAAAAGAATTGCTTTTAAAACCATATTCCACTAGACAACAACTACAAAATGAAGATATCATGCAGTTTATCCCCAAAGGCTCTATTACCCTGATGCAGTTTACTTGCCTTGTGTGTTCAAGCCCTAAGTCATCTTCTTCAGGGTTGAACTTTATTAGAATAAACTTGTATCCACATCAGAATGTGTAGTGCTTTTGCATATATCCTCAACTGTATTGTGTCAAAGACATGACCAGTTGATTTATCATGGTGCTTGAAATCATTCTATGTTCCAGTGCAGTGGAAGAGAGTGAATGCCATTGGTACATCACTACTGAATCGATACAGAGCTGTGGCTAGTCATGGCACTGCTATATAAGGTACAGCTGTGCTATGTATCAGGTTGCAGACGGTGACTCAATTTGAAACCAGGTTTGGTTATTCAAATCTGCACCAAATTTGATCCAGATTGATCTGTACAAATCCAAATGAGATCTAAACAGAAATTGAGAAATCCAGATCACTAATAATAATAATAATAATAATAATAATAATAATAATAATAATAACTTTATTGGTACAGGATTCCAAATCAATTTGGATTGGGAAAACAAAATGTCATATCTAACAACTTTTTCCAGATGTGAGCATGGTAGTTTTTTCCCCATAGTAGATCTTAAAGAAATGGTTAATTCGGTCAAACTGCATGCAGGTAGCTTCAGGGCTCTTTTGTGCTAGACATCTGTACATTTTGCCAAGGTGGGGTGAAGAAATTGAAATCTGCTGCCAGCAGGGTATTTGGTACCCTTTGTTATTCCCTAGCTGACTGGCTGCTGGATATTTCTGCTCTTGTTTAGTCTCTAAACTTTAGAGGAAGTCTATTGAGTGTTGTTTCCTAATGTACTAGCGCAGGCTCTGGTGTGGCAATGTCCCCTGTTCCCCTTCCTAACATGAAAGCAGATAACACACAGGAGACTGAAATGAGGTCCATTAATAATATTTTGCCATGTACTCTGTACCTTATTGGTACTTTACCATGTTATGTAGAACAATCCAACTGATAAATTCACAGTTATGGTCAAGAGGAAGATTTTGAAATATTTTCAACTTTTGATAATTCTTCCATAAAATTTATATTGTCTTGTTTATTTTCATTTCTGAACAGTTGGACCAAATAATTATTCATCAGCAAGTGGAGCTTCTGCAAGGTATTTCATGTTACAATCCAGACAATAATTTACAAATGGTTGAATGTGTCTGTTTTTAGCCCATACAAGCTCAATTTCTGCATTAATTTGCATTTTTTAAATTTAAAAAACAATGTAAAATCATTTTAATTCATATTTTATAAACTGGCATCTTCAAATATTTTCATTCAAAATGTATCTTTAAAACTGTATTTTGAAAACCTTTTTAGCATTAGAACACTAAGGATGCATTTACACTATGAGGTTGTAATAGTCTGATGCCGTTTTCATCACATAGCTGATCAATGTAAAATATCAAGATTTATTCAAAGCAATTCTTGCAGGGAAGGCCATAATAGCTTGGGGTTGGAAAGATGAGGAAAAAATGGAATATGGTAAATTGAAACAATTACTTGTTTGATCAGGTCCAATCAGAAATTATTACAAATGTAACCTGTAAGGACAAGAAGGAAGGTAAAATGAGGAAAATCAGAGAATGGTTGATATATTTATAATGGATAAAAAGAGGTGAAGCCAATGTAAATATTGTACAGAAATGGGAAAAGCTGAACTCATGGATGGAGTTAAAGTTCTAATGGAAATTGTGGTATGGGTTTAGGGTGGAGGGAGGTGGGAGGGAGGTGAAAAAACAAAAGAGGGAATGAACAGAACTAAGCTATATTAGATAAGTGAGTGGATAATATAGAAGGGAGGAAGTGGGAGACAATGGAAAAGGGTGAAGAAATGCGGTTATAGAATGACGCGTATCATGTATTAAATGTACAAATCTACTCACAAAGCAAAATATAGTATCAATAAAAAATTTAAAAACATAGCTGATTTGTAATTTAAGGCTTCCCAGTAGAGAATTCAAACTGCCATCACAAAATTCCATGGGGTATAGACATGGAAATTAAATTGTTATAACAGTATAATGTAGATATACTCTTATTAACTAGGTTGGTTGATCAATTCTGATTCACACATTAGTCCAGTGGCTTTAGATCAGATCAGTTAGTGTTGAATCAAATATTCAGGTATAATTAGCTTAAATCTAAAATACCCTTGAAAATCATAGAAGTAATCTATACATAACCCTTTCACATACAGAGTTCTAGCGCTGTGATTTAACTTTAACTGTCATGGTTCTATCCTATTATTATTATTATTATTATTATTATTATTATTATTATTACTTTATTTATAGACCTCCCTCTCTCCCTCAGAGCATTCCCATATTCTATGGTATTTGAGAGTTTAAGGGAGACACAAGAGCTCCTTCCTGAGAATTATAAATGATTGTTGCTAAACTATTTATTTATTTATTTATTTTATTTACTTTGCTTGTATACCGCAGTTTCTCAGCCCGTAGGCGACTCAACGCGGTTCACAACATAGCAAAAACAGTCATAACAAAATAGCAATAAACGATTTAAAAACCATGAATGCACAATATACAGTATGGCACATCAATAACAACACAACAAGGTCTCGTAACTAGAATCGTGATCCAATTCGTCATCTATAATTCCGTTCCTATATTCATCATATTCATTGCACTGTTTATCTGAATGCCTGTTCAAACAGCCAGGTTTTTAGCTTTTTTCGAAACACCATTAACGTCGGAGCTGATCTTATGTCCATGGGAAGGGCGTTCCACAAAACATAAAATTACATAGAATAAAACCATGGCAGTTACAATAGAACCACAGAGCTATAATAATGTTTTGTGAAAGCCCCCTGAAAATAGCCTGAATTCTGTTGGCTAGTCTCAACTGGAGTAAACATTTTGAATTAATTGTGTTCTAGATAAACACGTTGATGAATAAATCTACTCCATTTAGGCCTAACAATAGTTTTTAGATCTTTATTTCAATGAAAAAGAATTTACTGCATGCTTAATGCTTTTAACACAGTGCTTCCCAACCTATGGGCTGTGAGACCTAAAATAAGGTCTGCAACTCTAAATTATTAAATATGGTTTTCTGTGGGTGACTACTGGATGACTACTCTATCAGTAACTAGAGCTGATGTGGTCTATCCAATGCAATTTTCTGAATCAGCACCCCAAATAACCAAACCAAATCTAAAGTTGATCAAAAACTGGCTCATAACCCTTTGTTGGAGAGTGGTCACTGGTCAAAGTGATGCCCAGTTAAAGTGGTCCCTGGTCAAAAAAAAAAGGTTGGGAACCACTTTTTAAACAAAATCATTGTATTTCATATGTAGCAGTTTCTGTTATTATTTGCAATGTAGATGAGAGGAGTATCCTTGGATCTAAATATAAATGTAGCATTTGTAGCAGAAATGAAGCAGAATGACCATGCAGTACAGAGAAAATAATGAGTTGCCAACTAATTATAACAACACTAAATGCATTTCCTGATGTTTGTCTTTCTTTAGTTATACTGGGAACTGAAACCTGTAGCAAGTATGAAATAAAAAATTGCATGGGACAAAGAGTTTACTTTGCAGTAGAGGAAAATGGGTGCTTTGATCGCAACTTCTGCTCACCGTTGCGGTCTTTCACCATGAGGATTACAGACAACACTGGTCAAGAGGTGATCACTGTGAACAGACCTTTAAGATGTAATAGCTGCTGGTTTCCATGTTACCTGCAGGAGGTTAGTAAATCCTAGTAGTACTCCTTTATCTATTTGTTCAGATATTGCTATATCCTTTCTAAATTGTAAGGTGGGCATTGTAATTTATAAAATGAATATTGCCATTTGGCAAAGCAAATGAGAAGAAAAAGTGGGGACACAGCTGTATTTTCCAAATCCAGTTTCTCCCTTCGTGATATTTTAAAATCTAAAAGTTCAGTCCCTCCTGTAGCTTCCTCTTACATGGAAACTGAATGTGTGCAGAGAGGAACATGGAGCTAGACTGCAGTTCAAAGTATTTCTAAATGAGACATTTTTTAAACAGGCAAACAATGCACTGGATGTATACAGGGTAGTAAACTTGTTTGGTTTTGTACCATATTTCTCAGAATCTACCAACAGTTATAGTCATTGCCAGTAACATGTATAATATTAACAAAGACCTCTTGCTATAGCAATTACCTTGCAAATTATATTTTAGCATACTATTTCTTCTTCCTCTTCCTTTTTCTTGTTATCCCAAAGGTGGAAGTCCAGTCTCCCCCTGGGACCACAGTTGGCTATGTTGTACAGAAATGGGACCCCCTTTTGCCTAAATTTACTATCAGGAATGAAAGTAATGAGGATGTCTTAAAAATAATAGGCCCTTATGGAACATGTGGTTGCTTTGGAGATGTTGAATTTGAGGTACTTCAGATAACATTCCTTAACATTTGAGTTGTGATTGTTTTAATCTCCACTGGATGTCTTAGGCAAGACACTGCTGGATATGAAATCATCTAAGATAGATAATTTGTACCACTTCTAGGCCAGGCTTCTCTTCAACATTGGTGAAACACAGGAGTAAGCAACATGTGGCCTTCAGGTGATATGTAGCCCTTGGATCCCACTTTTGTGGTTCCTTAACACAAACACACACATACACCATAGCCTCTAAACTTCATTTTTCATATTTAAAAAGCACACTTTTTGATCAATATTTGTCCCAAATCACAGGATACCTCACAAATGGAGGAAAACACACAAAAATACCACTGGTTTCTAAAACACCTAATGACCGAAAGCACAGCTGTTTTTCTGTTCAATCACTCTTAAAATAAACACAGAAAGTGGTGTGATGTCAGTTCCTGCCATCATTTTGAGAGGGACTTGAGAGGCATTTCAGCTTTCTGTGGAGGGGTGATATGGCCTGCAGAATATTTGAGGGGGGTTGGCTCCTGCTTCCCCCTCCCAATTTTGAAAAATAAGTTTCTCTTGGAGCCCCAAGAAATGTTCTTATAGTATATGATATATATTATATATAATGAATATATGTCAGGCACGGGCAAACTTTTGGATACAGGAGCCACATTGCATTTTAAAATTTTGACAGACAGGCCAAGCTAGTGGCAATTAGATGTTTGTGTGGACTAACTGAAAAAAAATATGAATAAATTCCTATGCACATTGCACATATCTCTTTTGTAGTGCAAAAAGAAAAGAAGGAAGGAAAGAAAGAAAGAAAGAAAGAAAGAAAGAAAGAACATTACAATATTTAAAATGAAAAACAATTTTAACCAACATAAATTTGACAATATTTAACAGTGGAAGAGGTCGTCCAGTCCAACGTCCTTCTACCAAGAAGGAAAAACACAATCAAAACACTCCCAACAGATGACCATCTAGCCCTTGTAATAATAATAATAATAATAATAATAATAATAATAATAATAATAGCAACCCCAGAGGCCATCCGGTACAACCACCTTCTGTCATGCAGGAAAAGCAGCAAAGTGCCCCTGGCAGATGACAATCCAGCCACTGTAGTAATAGTAGTAGTGATAGGAGCAACCCTCTTCTGCCATGCAGGAAAAGTCCAATCAAAGCACCCCCCTGAGCAGCAGGAGGTAAATAAGGTATTGGAAGCAAAGAAGGCAGGGGGACGAGGAAGAGGTTGGATGGTGAGAAAAATAGCTTGAATGGTGAGAGAGGCAAGGAGAAAGGGTCTGTATTCCAGGAGGAAGCTGCTGCTGCTGTTTTGGCAGCTCCAAACTTTAATTTCCCTGCATTTCTTAGTAGGAGGAGAAGGAAAGAGGAGGTGGTGGGCAGCAGCATGCCACCACAGAGCCCATCACTACTATCACTCACAAAGCCTCAAGGGCTCTGCAGAGCACAGTTTGAGAACCCCTGGTTTAGAGCATTATCAGCTGAAGATTGTCAACTGAACTCCTCCAATCACTATTTAAACTGAAGATTATCATTTACCATATAACAGGCACTCCAGTTCCATTGGGGATAGGGTTGAAAAATCCAGTGAAGGTGGGATTTTTAAAGAAAAACTAGAGAGAACACCACTCTAGGAATCTCTAGGTCCTCTAGTGAAACATTAGAGGAAATACAAATGCCTATAGAAATTTTCTCGATAAGAATCTTTAGGCCATCCAGTATACCTCTGATAGTGGAAGTTGATGATAGAGTTACTCTAGAGGATAGAGATTCCTATGGGGAATGTATTAATCAAATCAGTTAATCCAATCTACAAATATGGAGAGCCAACAATCTTCACTTAGCTAGGACATGACAATGCAGGCATATTCTGAGATCTCCCAGCAATCCTAGACAATTATATTGCCATCACATGTCAGAAATTAGAAAATAATCTTAAGCAATCCTGGCCTTCCTCCTTGAGCTAGCACCTGGACATGTTGAGGAGCAGGAAAATGGTGACTAGGGGAACTAATTTAACATCAATATGCTTAATCCAATTTATTGAAATATTTGAAGAATGTACTTTCCACCCTTATATATGATTTTCTCTTTTTTACCTTTTTTTTTTTTTTAGGTAAAATCTCTAACTGATATGTCAACTATTGGCAAGATATCCAAGTATTGGTCTGGATTTGTCAATAATATCTTTACCAATACAGCCAACTTTGGTATCCAGGTCCCTGTAGATCTTGATGTAAAAATCAAGGCTGTAATGATTGGTGCTTGCTTTCTCCTAGTAAGTATACACCCCAAATGAAAAAATCCTCCCATTCTTGATCTCTCCCATTCTCCACACATTCAGGGTGACATTCTATACAAACAATAATCTGGGAAAACATTTGGCTGAATGGTCTAAACTCCCCACTTCCAAATTCAATCACACTATTTTTGTGTCATAATTAGAATAACCCTGCTAGATCCCATATTCTGGAATATGTCCTGTGGGGTTCCTCGGGCTACTGTTTTATCCCCATGTCATTTAACATATACATAAAACCACTGAGAAAGGTCATCTGGAGTCCTGGATTGTGGTGCCACCTATATGCAGATGGCACCCAACTCATGCCTTCATTTTATCTGGATTACTGTAACACCCTCTACATGGGGCTACCTCTGTAGAGTGCTTGGAAACTTCAACTGGTCCAAAGTGATGCAGCCAGGCTGCTCCACCCGCTGCCAGTTTGTTTCTGGGCATAATTCAAAGTGCTGCATATTACCTTTAAAGCCTTAGATGGCTCAGGTGCAGGCTATTTGACTGACCACATCTTCTTTTACAAACCTTCCCGGGCCCTGAAATCTTTAGGAGAGGCCCTCCTCTCAGTCCCACCTTCATCTCAAGCCTGGATGGTGGGAACAAGAGAGCGGGCCTTTCTTCTCTGTGGCTTCCCCTCGACTCTGGATCTCTCTGCCCAGGGAAGCCAGAATGGCCCCCTGCAGTCCTTCTGGCAACAGTTTAAATCCTTTTTACTCAGGAAGGCTTTTAAAAAGGAAGGTTTTAAAGATCAAGTCAGTTTTAGTTTTAAATATTTTTATGGATTTTATTGAATTTTTAATACCAATTATATTTGATCCTGTTTAAATATTTGCATATTTGCAGATTTAAAATTGCATTGAAATGCTTTTAATGTAAGCTGCTCTGAGTTTAGTTATGGAGAGAAAAAGCGGGAATAAATAAACATCATCATCATCAAGTCTGGTTGTTGAAAAAGGTGTCTTTGAAGAAATCCTCCTGCAGAAGGACAAATGGGATTATCACTATATGTGTGACTCAGGAAAAAAATGGCTAACAGGTTTCATTAAGCAAGCAGATCATAGTGTTCCCTGCAAAGTGATGTCCTCCTCACACCTTTCTAGCTTTCTGATATCAGGCCCTGCTGCTACTAATACTCCTTATATGTGGGGCAGGGAGGAAGAGGAGATGCAATTCAGATGGAGAAGAAGCATCTATCTTAGATCAGAGGGGATGAGAAACAATGCTGTGCTCAAAGATGGAGCATACCTTCCTTTTCCTTCCAAAAATAGCTATATGCACATATGTCATGCTTATACATTGAAAAGCTTTAACACTGTTACTCAAGATCTCCAAAGACAAGAATCTTTCAAAAGCAGCAGCAGTTGAATGTCTGAATGCACATATGACGTCACTAATTGTTCTTATTTTCACTGACCCTATATGTATTCCAGTTTGAAATACTCTGTTTTTATTCGCCATAAATCAGCAATGGCTCATGCCTAGGGCTGCTTAGGGCTGCTGGGAGTTGCTGGCAAAAAAAAAAACACCTAAATAGTCAGTGGCATTTGACCTCACTACCTCTGAGGATGCTTGCCATAGATGCGGGCGAAACATCAGGAGAAAATGCCTCTAGAACATGGCCATATAGCCCAAAAAAACCTACAACAACCCAGTCAGTGGCATACATTCTCTGTCCTTGTTATAGACTAGCAGTGGGCAAGTCCATAGTAGGAAGGGAATTTTGGTCCCTGTGCCCACTGGCTCATTTGAGCACATTGATCGCAATGTAATGTCACTTCCTGCTGTCATTTTGGCTGTTATTCAGCTGATTTATTTTGGATTTTGTGGAGGTTGGAGGGCTCCAGGAGTTTGAGAGAAGCAAATTGCCACATGTACAGCTTTATGAATGGTTTAGAGACAAAAGGTCATTTTTTTTAAAATGGAGAAATGATGAGGGTTTCAGGGCCACAAAAAGTGATTTAGAGGATGTTAGCATTTGCATTTTAAAGTTTAAAAAAAGTCCAGTGTTCTATTGGAGTGGGCTAGTTAGACTGTTTCCCCACTATATCAAAAATGCTCTAAAATTTGAAATGATGAAAATTTACAGAGTGAAAGGTGTCATTTGGCTCTAGGGTAAAAACTGTGCATTTTTGCTGGGACTTCTATTATTTGCCGAGAGCTAGACACACTCAATGTGCAGTGGTTTCAGAATATTATTTTAAAAGCCTCCCAGTGAGATGTTAAAGTAGACCAAACAACACTCTCTACCTGTCTCCACAAAATCATTTTGATCAACTTGTATAATGACCTAGCTTCTAGCTCACCTTTTCAGTCCAAATAATATTTCTTCCCAATACTAGCAGTCCAAATAATATTTCCCTCTAATACGTATTCATCCATGATTGCTTCCAGCATTAAACTGTCTTTGCTCAGAGGCACCAAGCAGAGGAACCACTATATTATAATAATCATAATTTTCATAAGTCTTTGGTGTAATGAAACCCTACAAGTCAGTCCTTTGATATTAATTGTTTCCTCTTTGTATCTTCCTCATCATTCACAGTTTATTTATTTGTAGGACTTAATGTTCTTTGAGAACTCCTTGGATGGATTGTAAAAAGCAAGATGATAGGAACAATAAAATATGCAAACGACATTTCAGTAAGTAAGAATGCAACATAAATTGGTTGCCTTTGCTTTGAAGACTTATACATAAGACACTTCCTAATTCTTTTTCATTTTTTTGCAGCACTCCCTCGAGCTCTGGATATCCCTTTTAACCTGTACAATCCTATGGGCTTGGCTTTTTTTTGTAAGGGGAGATGAGGTGGGGAGGGCAATGACCATATTTATTAAACTATAACTTGTGTAAATAATTGTTTTTCTGTTTTAATTGTGAAGATGGATGCTAAATATATAATTTGAATGGAGAGATGGGGAGAGGGAGGGAGGGATGTAGAATATGCAGTGTTTCTTTGGAGTATTACAATTCTCTGTGGACTCGTTTGATGTCATTGCGTCAGAAAGCATGAAAGATTAGGGCTAAGACGTGCGGCTTCACTGATGAAAAGTCTTTACTTACAAACCCGTTTGAAGTTTTGGATGTGTTGGCCCCAGCTATTAGTCAGAAGAATAAGAAAAGGGAGGGAAAAGGATAAAGTTTTTTTTAGAAAAAAATTCCCAACAAGCTTTCAGGTTTAGAGTGCAATTAAAACTAACACAAAAAGACTTCATTACTTAGCCACTGGGAAGGCTGAACTAAAATGTCTTTTGGGATGCTGGGAAGGGGGTGATGGTATGTGTTCTTCAGATTTTTTTAAAAAATATTTAGAATCATAGAATTACAGGACTTGGAAGAGACCACACAAGTCATCCAATCCAACCCCCTGCCATGCAGGAAAGCATAATCAAAGCACCCTCGATAGATGGCCATTCAACCTCTGTTTAAAAACCTACAAAGAAGAAGCTTCTACCACACTCTGAGACAGAGAGTTCTACTTCTGAATATATGTAATATAACTTTATTCTTGTACCCTGTCACCATCTCCCGGAAGGATCTCGAGGTGGCTTACATATGGGACAGAGTGTCCACAAGACATAAAAGCAAAACAATCCATTAAAAACAAAAACACAATTAAAATTAAAACATAGTAAAATATGATGATCCAGATAAAAACACAATTAAATAAAACATAAGAATATTAAACAGTAACTTTGAACCTCCATCAAATGATGCTTGACAAAAACCAGTAGGCAGAAATACTAAAATGGGCATGACCAGGCTATAAATAGAGGCAGGCATAGGATAGTGCAAAGTAGCATACCATAGGGCCAGGGAGTTGGATGAAGTATACAGAACACAGAGTACTATCTGGAAAACTAGGGACTGGGCACATATAACTAGGGACTAGTCATTCTCAAATGCTTGCAGAAACATGCAGGTTTTCAGATCCCTGTGAAAGGAGGACATTGTAGGGGCTTGTCTAATCTTCCTGGGGAGGGTGTTCAAAATTGGGAGGGCCACCACTGAGAAGGCCCTCTCTCTCATCCCCACCAGCCGTGTTTGTGACAGTGGTGGGAGTGAAAGGAAGGCCTCCCCGGCAGATCTTAGAGCCTGCGCCGGTTCACAGGGAGAGATGCGGTCATGAAGATAGGCAGGGCCCAAACTGTTTAGAGCTTTGTAGGTCATAACCTGCACTTTAAATTGGGACCAGAAAATTATTCAGCAGCCAAAGGAGCTGCTTTAATAGGGATGTCATTCAATTTCCGTGCCGTCTTCAAAGGCAGCCCCACATAGAGTGCATTGGAATAATCCAATCTAGATGTAACCAAGGTGTGGACCACCATGGCCAAGACAAGATGGTCCATGCTCTTACAGTCAGGAAGTTCTGGTGGAATTTCTTGTAATTTGAACCCATTTCTCCAAACCCTAGTCTACAGAGCAGCAAAAAACAAGCCTGCTCCTCTTCCTTACATCATTTCAAACATTTAAACATGGCAATCATGTCTCCACTCAACCTTCTCTTCTTCAGGCTAGACATCCTCAGCTCTTTAAGCGCTCCTCACAGGGGATGGTCTCCAGACTTTGAATAACTGTAGTCACTCTCCTCTGAACATGTTCCAGCTTGTCAATATCTCTTAAATTGCGGTGCCCAAAACTGGACACAGCATTCCAGATGAAGTCTGACCAAAATAAAATAGAGGAGCACCATTACTTCGCTTGGTCTAGAACTGTACTCCTGTTGACACAGCCCAAAATTCCATTGGCTTTTTAAACTGGTGAATCACATTGTTGGCTCATGTTCAACTTGTGGTCCACTAAGACTCCAAGATCTCTTTCACGCTGAATGTTATTGAGACAGGTGTCACCCATCCTGAATCTGCGCCTTTCTGGCCAAGTGTAGTATCCTACACTTCTCCTTGTTGACATTCATTTTGTTAGTTTTGGCCTAGCAACACATTTAAAATACATTTGCTCAGTGTCAGCAGTTGTGCTTCTTGCAATAGGTGATGGATCTGAAGATATGAAGCTAGGTGATATGCCATGCACATGACAATGCTAAGGACTTTTAGAAAGCTGAGGTACTTAGTTATCTTCCAACTACACATGGCAAAACCATGGAAAAATCTCACAATTACCTTTTTTTTCTGGGACATACCATTTTCACACTGTGGGGTAGCCTGCCAGACATTCTTTACTTGTGCAAGAGGTTTGGCCTTGATCTTGAAATTAGTGCACCCAGCATTTTGTTCATCGTTGTTTTGACATGATACAAATTGTTATTACACAAAATTAGTACCTCTTTTTTAAAGAAGCTATACATACATAAATATAGGGAGATCAAACAAAAAAAAGCTGATTTATCATAAAGATGCAACATTGCACACTTAACAAGTACATTGGACAATTAGATGCATAACAGGATCCTTTTGATGTGCATTGGACACTTTTTATAAACATTGATCTCTGGCACATTGAGCTCTGTCACATAGGGCTCTGGCACTTTTTTAGCCTGTGTCTACATGTATATCAGTGTGCTTGGCACATCAGAGCTGTGGTACACCAGTCATTCCACAATTACCATTGCTAAATGGGTGCCCCTAAGTGAATATATACACTGCAAAACTACTCCAGTCTATTGTTTACACATGCAAATCAACTTATGAAGGCATAACTCTCATACTGAATTCCTGTCAAAATAAGGAAATCTATAAAAAGCTTAATTTTGTTGTAGGAAAATCAATATGACTTCTCCCAAATCAGATTCAATCTCATTAAAACATTAGAATTATTTGTGATAGCCAAGAGGTATATGCATAAAGATGATCTAATAGACATTATGTTTTTAGACTTTCAAAAAGCAATTGTTCAAGTGCCTTATCAAAGTTTTGACATAAATTCAGTAATTATGGGATAAAAAGAGAGCCACTGTAGTGGATTGGAAATGGATTAAAAGCAGAAAGAGAGCACAGGAATAAGGAGACAGTCACCATGATAAAAAATATGTCCTGTGTTGGGACTGCTCCTTGTTACCATGTTCATCCTTGCTCAGAAGTTAGGAGTGGGAAGTGATTTGGCCAATTTTAGTGATGACACCAAAGAGACGGCCATCATACACACTCTAGAACTTTATCCAAGAAAGGGATATTGGAGACTGACTGGTATTTCTGTTGTATGGTGGGGTTCAGGCAGGTTATTTTTCAAGAATAGCCTTCCTACAGCTTCTTTTAAGAAGGCTAGAGTCCTGAGTTATCACAATGAGACATTCATTTCATCCAGTCCCTCCTGGCTGATCTTATAAGCCATGAAAGGCATGAGTCCATCCTGACTTTTATCTCTCCATACCCTTAGACTGCACATCCTGAAGATATGCAATCATACAGAAGAAGAAGAAGCATCCAAATCAGAGTGAATCTTAACAGTTTTGTTTGCGTAGTGTCTTGCAAATTCTTTATAATGTTCTGTCTACTGGTCTGCATTCTCTGCTTGTGGGGCAGAGCAGAAACAAGCCCCCTCCCAAGGCCCTACTCAAGACCACACTGCTGGGTGATACTGTGCAGACACAAAAGTGGCAGATTACTATGACTTCTTCATTGCCACCAACACCATAACATGACCTTTTCAATGGGCTCTGTTTGGACAGACCTGCACCAAATGTTGTTCCGATCTGAAAGGTAAGTTCAGAAAAATAGACATCATGAAGATTGTGATTATCAGAATGACTGTGTCCCATCCCTTGTTTAAAAAGAAGGCACTGCCCCCATCCCTTCTTCTATAGATACTTCTCCCTGTCAGTTTCCCCAATGCCATCTTGTAATATTTTAAAGTAATGTCGAGAATACTAATCCAATTGGCTCCTGCATTTGGATAGTTCGTTGCTCCCTCAGCTTCTCAATTTCTACTCAGGTTGAAAGAACAAACTGTGAAAGGGAGGAGCAGATAATGTCATTGAAAGCTTTCCTCCCTTTGAGTTGTCATGTTGACTAATGTGTATGTAGAAGATAGATGATCTTTCTTAGCAGAGGAGCCTACTGATAAAAACTTTAAGGGAGTAAAGAGAGTTTTATAATATTCTTCTTAAAAAGAAGGGTTCAATAATATAGTGACAAGAAGAGACACAGAATTATATGAATAGGTGTGGAACAAATTGCCAGACTGGAGGAGCCTAGGGATTCAGGTCTAGACTTCAAAAAATAAAGTATTGAAAGTTCTATTTAGATAAGTACCCTCAATATGCAGATAAAATGAAAAATAAAACTCAAGTTCCTTCCTTCTTTCCCATGAAGGAATCTTATGCTGGGGATGTTTAAAATAAAAAATGATCTGAATCACAAGGCTCAAATGTCCCTAATTGTGCTCCAACTATGCAGCTGCACATCCTGAAAGTGTTTGGATGGAAAACTGGAGATGCCATGTATACACCATATATGTATGCTACTTAATGGAATTTGAACCCATGCTGGAGAAGATTACTTTTTGACTACAGCTCCAAAGATCTTATGGTGATCACACTGGTTGGGAGATTACGTGAGATATGGAAACAAACACAGGATGGAATTCACAATCAAATGCAAAACCTTGTGCTATGGTTTTGTAACAAAACCATATTCATGATTATTGCATAGTCACGTTTGTCGCATGGGACTGCAGTGTCTCCACAATACATTAAGGGGTGTTGAATGGTGAACCCTGGACCAATTACACTACATTAGACAAGGTCTTACACCAGCAAAAATGAAATCATGTGTTCCCTTGCCTCTCACCCTCGTCCAGGTGCAACCTACCTGTCAGCTGCTGGTCCATATCCCTATAACTATTGACTGGGGATGGGGGGGGGGGGGGGGGGGGGGGGGGTTCCAGGGTTGTATTTCTGTA